GGCACATCCTTGCCCAGTGCCCTTTCCGGCGGCACTTAGAGCACCTGTCATTGCCGTGGGGACAGCCTTTCTTGCGGTGGCTCCTCATGCCACAGCTACCACACTTGTTGAACCGCGCCCCGTCATCCGACGTGTCCGAGTCTGACTTCATCGCATCTGACTGGGCCACTTCATCGCAGCGAAGACCGGTCTCGCTCTCTCCGAGAGCGGCGCGAGCTTATGGAGGACCTCTATCACTGTTCCATCGCCCTTCCTGCACTCGAAGCGGAACTCTTTCGCCCACCTGTTGTCTGCCGCCGCGCTCAGAATGTGTCCGGAATCGTGATCCTCGTGTCGTAACGGACCTGCAGCCTCGTCAGGCGGTGCAGCCATGTCGGGAACAAATCGTGGAGGGTTGGCACCTCTTCCGGCGCCGCGTAGACGCAGGACGTGAAGCACCGGCTCAGCAGAGTGCTGATGGCGGTGAGCGGTGGGAGGCGGCACTTCGCTAGCTTATCCTCCCAGGCCTTCGGCGGGTGAGACATAACAACTGGCCTTGCCCACTGACACACCAGTGAGCCCGTTAGGGTGTTGTCGTTACCACTCAATTTCGGGTCACCCGTGGACACAACATTTCGTGGTGCGTTTCGTGCTGGAAATTATTTTCCCGTCCGTGCATGAAAACGATAGTGCCCCGGGTGACGAGCAATGTTGGGGGGCGATTGGAGATGTTGGCATGGCTGATGAATGCTCAAGGGGTGCGGCCGCCTATTAAGGACTGTGAAGTTAAGATGTTGACACTGGGTTGTCGAAGTTCAAAGGCTACTGTTCAATTTCTGGTTGCGGCACCTAAGGAAGCGATGAAGAGTTTGATTGACGCGGGCAAGGATAGCACTGCTTCCTGTGACGAGGAAGCTCCGTTGAATGAAGAACTTGACTGGCTGGATGCATGTTCTAGGATCTTCCTTTACCGTTCGGGTGAGACCAACGGTGTGGGCGAAGACCTAGCAATGCGAGAGCTCAAAAAGTATTTACAGAGGGTGGACCCAGATGACGCATTCTCCGAAGTTTCCGACCTGATCTGTTTTGACAGTGTTGGTTTGACACTGTCAGAGATCCGGGAAGTACAGGGAAATAGTCGTTACGCTGAGTTCTTGCAAGTCACCAGTTGCAATGATCTGACACCTACGGAAATGGAGAATGTTCGTCGGAAGCTCCCCGAAGAATGGATGACACTGCTGCACAAACCGTCTCTCGTGAACCCACGTTGCCTGGCGGTCTCCATGGCCGCCGCTTTAGCCAGTGGGCTGGCTTTGTATTTTGGATACCAGTGGTTCGTTTCCGAGAGCCGTGCTCCATGCATTGCTGAACATTGGATGGATGAAGAATTGACTATGAATACCACCGTGGCCCACAATACCACGGATACCACAATCGAGAATACCGCTGCAATAAATTCGATTCCGACGGATTCGAGGTTCTTGTACTTCGTGTCAAAGGTCGCTGAGAACACGACCAAGAGAATTTTCGGGACTACTCCACAATACGAGCCCAACACCACCGCCCATTATGGCACAACCTCACATATACCCAACACGGATGACAGTACATTGGTTGACCTTGCCACTACAGTGGCTGTGAACGTAGCGAGGGAAGCATTGCAGAAGAATATCGTGAACGACGTTGGGACCATGAAGGATGTTGCGAAGAATACCAACGATGTTGCGAAGAATACCAACGATGTTGCGAAGAATACCAACGATGTTGCGAAGAATACCACGTCAAGCGTAAGCGGGAATACGACCAAGCCAAGTTTGGTAAGAAAGAAGAGAGGGTTGAACTTGAAGTTACATATGAGCGAACGTGAGCTGGCGTGGCTGCGAACCAATTGTCCCGGCGAGTCTTACAAGGTGTTGGAGGATCACAAGGAACCTGTGCCCCTTTGGATGAGAATGGAGGAGGAAGGGCAGTATCCATGTGGTGGTCTGAGTGGACAATTGCGGTGTCAGACAGCTACGAATAAAACGCCCAATGTATGTTATGCATTTGGTGGTCCGTGGACCTTCGACGCTTTTGCGGTGAGGGATGCTATTAGACGTAGTCAGCAGAGAGTTGGAGACTGCTTTGTGCGATGCGATGAGCGGGATAAGGAAATGGAGCATGTCTGGACGGAGACCGGAAGGCATCTACCATGGATTGCATCGTATCCTGAAGTTGGGTTCATCGACTACACTTTCCATCCCGCAAAAGCCGACATACATGATTTCAATGCGATGATCGAGACACGATATCCTCTCGTGGAGAAATGCTCTGGGATATGTTCGAATTGCCTGAATGACCCCCGTATAAGGAGATGCACATGTGATTTTGCGAGGACCATGTGTTGGGGTGTCGAATCGATTGGTTACAACACAGAGATGGAACGTCAGATTAAGTTGGTGACTCTGTTTAATGGTAATAGTGAAAAAGAAAATAAGCGTGTTAAGTGCAGATTAGAATGCCGTAAGGTAAGGCCGGATATTCCGGCAACTTTCGGCACAAAGGCGGAGGTCAAACTTGTGGAAACCGGGGAACCCCCCCGCAGAGGTGATAATTCGCTGGATTGGATGATGAGTAGAAGAGAGCTGAGCCTGCTTCAGAGGCCTGTCGAAGAATGCGGTGGTGAACGCCTATGGGACAATAGGCGATACTGGATTAAGCTGGATAAGATCGGACCGCATCCATGTAGAGGTCGAAGTGGATTAATCAAGTGTGAGAGGATGGCGGCAAGTAGCGGCAGGTTCTCATTGAACCCAGAGGAATGGTTCCCATACAAAAACACTTGCCATCGCTTTGGTCCTCAACATATGGGGGTCTATGCGGTGCAAGATGCTGCAAGGCAGTATTTCAGGAAAGTCCGAAATTGTTTTGTGACATGTGACACAACCGAACAAGTCTATCACACCCTATGGCAGATGGCCGACGATAATCTGGGCCACTTGCCTGGCTACCAAAGCTATCACTTGCCCAAACCTGACAGTGTATTAAACCACTTAGAAGAAGATTTGCGGGAGCACCACCCCACCGAAAAGCGTCAAGTATCGTTCTGCAACCGACACTGTATAATTGCCGATGACCGTGTCTGTCGCCTAGCCCACGTTGAATGTGTGTCCGAGTACAAAAACCAACTCCCTGAGACGCTTCATTCGTTCGGATTCACAACAAGTGTACGGGACGCGTACAAGATGCTGGGTATCCCCGTGGTTGACAAACGCCAAGACCTGGTCATGCGAAAGTGTATCACCGAATGCTATGGTGAATTATGGCCGGTTCCTGATCAGTGGCCTCTGGGAAAAAAATAATATCACTTTTTGCACCAACCAACCAGTACTAACGCCAAGCCAAGAACGACTGTCACGCCAGGGACCGCCGTCACACCAGGGACGGCTTCGTCACGCCAGGGACCGCTATCACGCTAAGGACCGCTGTCACGCCAAGGACGGCTCGCCACGCCAGGGACGGCTTCGTCACGCCAGGGACGGCTCGCCACGCCAGGGACGGCTGTCACGCCAGGGACGGCTGTCACGTCAGGGACGGCTGTCACGTCAGGGACCGCTGTCACGCCAGGGACGGCTGTCACGCTAGGACCGCTGTCACGCTAAGGACCGCTGTCACGCTAAGGACCGCTGTCACGCCAGGGACCGCTGTCACGTCAGGGACCGCTGTCACGCCAGGGACGGCTGTCACGCCAGGGACCGCTGAC